TTCCACCACCCCCCTCCCCAGGGCACGGAGGGGCTGCAGCCCCATGGGGTTCCCCACTGCAAGGTTGCTATCACCCCTGAGACTGGTGGGAGGCTGACCTCGTTGGTCTGCAACCACCCACAGGTGGAGGGCTCTGCTGGGCTCCTCACCTTCCCTGTGGGATGCCTGGGGACTGGAGTGGGACGAGGTGGCTCCTGCATTTCAATGAGGAAGCTGAGGCTGCTTTTTCTCTTGGTGGCAGGGGATGGGTGAGGGAATGCAAAAGGCCCAAAGAAAAGCCATTCAGGCCCCATGAGAAGGGGTCCTTCCAGACCCCCACCCTCCAAAGACACTTTTTTTTTTTTTTTTTGAGGGGTGGGCATTTAGTGAGCCTGTTTCTCCCCTTTGTCTGGCTCTGCCATCAGCCTTCTGTCACAGCCTGGCCCCTTTCCTCTCCCTCTCCATCCTCCCCCTTCTCTCTGCTCCTGACCTGCCGGGAAACTTTCCCATGGAAGAGAGGCCCAAGGGGAGGGGTGGGGGGAAAGAGCTGTGGCAGTAATGTGGCTGTAGGAGAAAAGAGGAAAAAAAACAACAGACCAACCCGGGAAGCAGTGACAAAAAGGGGCTGTGAATGGAGACACAGGCAGGGTTTCTAAAGAGCAAGAGAAAAGGCGGCAGTGGGGCAGGAGGGGCACGTTGCCCTGTTGGGGGATTCTCTATTTCCAGACAGGGCCTGTGCAGTTGCTCAGGCAACTATTGTCTCACCCTGCGGGCTGTGGGAATGTGGGTGCCTGCCGCCAGCCCTGATGTGGTCTCTGCTGGCTTCTCGCAGGGTCCCCACCGTTCCAGTGAAGAACCTCACTGGCTCCAGCCCTGTCAACCCAGCACTGGCAGGTGAGGATGGGGCTGCAGTGGGGCACCCAGTGCCTGCACGTGCTGGCCTCCCCAGGGGGGAATCAGCCCCAGCAGGGCGATTTTGAGGGAACATCTGGGGTTTGGGGTGATGCTGGTTCCTCAGTGCCATTTCGAACCCACTCACCCAGGGATCACGGGGATTCTAATGAGTGCGGCCGGGCTGCCCGTCTGCCTGACACGGCCCCCCAAGCTGGTGCTGCACCCTCCACCCGTCAGCAAAAGTGAGATCCAGTCCATCCCTGGCATCTCCCACACCTGCCGCAAGACCACCAAGAAACAGGCCAAGAAGGGTGAGAGGCACTTTGCCACTTGACCCCTGTTCCCCCCCTTCCCTACATGGTTACCTTGTCCCCACCTGTCCACTCCTGCTGCCCCCAGCAGTGGGTTTCCCCTGTGCTGCCCTCCAGCTCCTCTGACTCTTGCTCTCTGCAGGTAAAACCCCTGAGGAGGTACTGAAAAAATACCTGCAGAAGGTGCGGCATCCACCGGATGAGGTGCGAGCAGTGGGGGTCGCACTGGTGTGTCCCTGGATTGCTTTACTCTGGGAGGAGTAACTGGGTACATGGGTGATGCCTCTGTGCTGTGCAGGGGTCTCCAGCTGCCCCTCGTGGCTCTGCCCTGTCCCTGTACCCCTCTGAAGAGGGGCTACATGCACGTGTTGGTTGGCCCCTGCCGTGGCTCAGGGTGATGGCATGGCACCAGGGATGGGTGCTGGTCCCTGGGCAGGAGCAGGGCAGCTCGTCATCCCTGTGTCCTCAGCGAGTCTCCAGCTGCATCCGTCCATCTGACCCCTCTCCCATGCAGGACTGCACCATCTGCATGGAGCGCCTCTCTGCACCCTCTGGCTACAAGGGACCCCAGCCAGCCATCAAGCCTGACCTGGTGGGGAAGCTTGTGAAATGTGGCCACGTCTTCCACCTCCACTGCCTGGTTGCCATGTACAACAACGGCAACAAGGTACAAGGCTACAGTCCTGGGGGATGCCCAAGCCCCTGCCTCAGCAACCTGTGCTGAGCTCCACCTGCCCTCAGTGAGACAGTGCTCGAGTCCTGCTGCCCTGCAGAGCTCTGACCTCCCCGCCCTGACAGAGAGTTTAATTTTATTAGCAGTGAGCACTTTGGGACTGCTAATCAGAAACCAGGGTTGCATGGGTGTTTCCCCCACACACACTATACCCAGTTTCATATCCTTGCTTTCCTTCCCAGGGTTAGTGGTGGTGAGCTTTGATTTCTGCGTGTTTGAGCAGCGCTACCTGTTATCTGGCACTGGGGAGTGCTTTTCCAGTCATAGGTGGGCTTTTCTGAGCCACCTCCAAATGTCCCTTGGGCTTGACCTTCCCAGGAAAATGCATTTCACATTGCTTGGGTTTTTAAAATATTTATTATCTTTCTCTCTTTGGGGAAAAAAAAAAAAAAACAACAAAAAACCAAACAAAACAGAGGTAAGGAAAGTAGCAAGGACTGTAAAGCTGATGAAGAAGAGAAATGCAGACCTCAGGCTTTTGGTTAAATTTGGGTCGCTGTAGCACATTATCACAGCCCTAAACCCTGCTTCCTAAGTATTTTTGAAATCAGTGTTTTCACGGTGAAAACAATGTTCACTGCTGCTCAGGGATGAAGTGCCTGGTCTGGCTTGGTGCTGAAAGATACGGGTTTCATTATGTTCCTCTCTTTTCTTGCTCTCAGGATGGGAGCCTGCAGTGTCCCACATGCAAAACCATCTATGGGGTGAAGACAGGGACACAGCCCCCAGGGAAGATGGAGTATCACATCATCCCTCACGCGCTGCCTGGCCACTCTGACTGCAAAACCATCCGCATCATCTACAACATCCCCCCGGGGGTGCAGGTGTGACCCAGCCCTATGCCTGGGGGGGGTACATGAGTGGTTCCGTGTGGGGGCTGGTGGCCCTTGTCACTGCTGTGTCACCCTCAGGTCATGCTGCAGCTCATGCCTTGACTTGGGGCTCCAGATTCAACAGTGTCTCGGGAGCTGTGTGTCTGTAAGGATGTTGTGGGAAGTCTGGGGTACGTCTGCATGAAAGTGTTGGCCCCATCTGCTTGGTGGCGGGGGGGAGATGGTAGCGTTTAGGGCCACTGTGCTAGAGCATCGCTGCCCAGCCACAGCAGTGAGCAGCTCTGCATCCACTGAGGCTGGCTGGTTGCCTTGTGCCCAGAACATTGTTCTGAGCTCCAGAAGGGTTTTGTTTCTCTCCCACTCCACACTCTGCAGGGACCGGAGCATCCAAACCCCGGGAAGAGCTTCACTGCCCGCGGCTTCCCCCGGCACTGCTACCTACCAGACAGCGAGAAGGGCAGAAAGGTGAGGGGCTCACCCGGGTGGCTCGAGCTGGCCAAGGCATGCTCAAGGGCATACTGAGAGGGAGAGGGAGTGAGCAGCTATTTGGAGCACGTGAAAAAGCAGATAGGGCTTATGCAGGCAAATCTGGGTGGAGGTTTTCTCAGTATCGCATCCAGCATGCTCTGCAGGAGCCCAGCAACATTCCCATGCACTGGGGGAGCTCTGCAGTCTGGTCCCACTATTTTGGTTGGGGTAGGATACCATGCTGGGATCTGTAGCTCCCTGGGAGGGCCTGGCTGTGGATTACCCACATTGCCAGGGCATACTAGGATGATCAGGCGTGCCCTGAGCAGAAATGGGTGCTTCCCCTCTGTGTTTGCCTTGCTGCCTGCCCCATCTCTCCCTTCCACAGGTACTGAAGTTGCTGCTGGTGGCCTGGGACCGGCGCTTGATCTTTGCCGTCGGGACCTCCAGCACCACAGGAGAGTCAGACACAGTGATCTGGAATGAGATCCACCACAAGACAGAGTTCGGCTCCAACCTCACTGGCCATGGTTACCCCGACATCAACTACTTGGACAATGTCCTGGCCGAGCTTGCGGCCCAGGGCATCACGGAAGAGAGCCTGGCACAGGAGAAGGACTGAGGCTGGAGTAGGGAGGCAAGGGAAGGGGTGCCTGTGCCATGGCCCTATTGATAAAGCTGCTGGTTGGAACCTGCCTAGGGGCTTTGCAGGGGGCAGTTGGAGCCCCCTCCTCCTGGTGGCACCTGCCCAGTGGGAGTATCCCGAGGCTGGCTCGGAATGCAGGAGGAGGTCCTTTTGGCCATCCCGTTCACTCCCCTGGGGAGGGAGCCTCCCTCCACGGAGCCGCAGGGCTTCGTGCTGGCCTGACTGTTCCCTCTGGCTGGTGTCCTATTCCT